ATGTGTGTGTGTGTGTGTGTGTGTGTAAATAAACCAGCACTAAAATCAAGAAAGACGGACTCCTTCGTTATTCAGATCTGTCCAATAAAACTGGGGTATTACAGTAGGCTAAGTCCAAAATCAATATAGTCCCTAGTGATGTTATGCCCGAAGCAGACGGCTCGACACAGTATCGATCTTTCAAAGCAGAAGTATCGTGGCAAGAGGTTTCGATGCCTTGCTTCACCATGAGAGATACTGTATCACGAGACTCCCCAAATGAAGCTTCATGATGTCTCTCACACACTCACACACACACACACACACACACAGGTGATGTGTTGTGCTGGTTTTGAATACAGGGCGGGGTTATTACACTCACCATGCTTGCAAATGGGCGCAATCCCTCTACACTTCATGGGTTTTTTTGAGGGGAGAGTTTTTGCATGCATTATTGCTATAGTTTCATTTATTGACAACCAGGGAGAGAGGTTTGGGTACGATTAGATAAACTGGCACAGTTATACACTTGGCACATAGACATTCAAATACAAAACCACACAGTGGGTTTCACCTTCTTCTGCTCTGATTTCCTGCAGGTGCAACTCAAAGATTTCAAAATGCAACGGCTGAAGCAACAACGGAGGTTCTATCAATTTTTCATAGGCATATCTCTATTACACAGTTTAAGATGGCACAAGTATATAATGTCTTAAAAAGACAGCCAAACATTTCAAGATGCACAAAGAAGCTTTATTGTTAAACATACATAACAGTGCCTTACGGTTTCATGACACCTTACCCTTTATTGATCCATGCAAATGCTCTGTTGAGGGTTGCCAGCAGATGTTTCCATATATGATTGTATCAAATGCTTCAACACACTGAACCATTTCAACACAATTGCTTCATATTGATTCAGTGGTTTGGAAAGCTTTGGTTTCTCTATTACTAATAGTCCCTAAACGAGGCAAAGGGGAAGAGTCCAAAAACCTTACGAGAGGCAAATACATTAAGAGGTAGGAACAACGAGCAGAAGCAGGGTGTGGTGAGCAAAGGAACCAGCAAACAACTGAGGCAAGTTAGGAGAATATAAAGGCTTGAGACGGCCAGACAATGAGCAACAGGTGAAAGCAATGAGTTAATCAAGGACCAGAGTACACTGAAAAAAAAAGGACTCACCAGGTCTTTGGATTTACACAAATTATGCTAGTATATGCAACGCAATTCATTCATATTTCCTCTGTTAACATAATTCAAACAAGTTAACCCCTAAAGAAAATTATGTTGGTTTTACACATTATCATAGTGTGGGACCGATGTACACATTACAATCAAGTAAATCCAACAAATCTTTTTTTTTCAGTGTACAGCTGAGGCAGGGGAGATGACAAAAACAGGAAACTCTTACAAAATAGAAGTTCCAAAACAGAAAAGTCCAAAACCATAGCATAATTTTGTTTCAGTTTAGTCAAACACACATTTCATGCTGTTTGCGGTGTTACCAGACACAAGAGTAGAGTTTAATTCTGGTCATCTATAAACAGCACCATTAATTACTGCATCTGTGGTACAACAGACAGGACCATTTGTCCCTTTAAATCCCATTGTGCTCAGATTTGTGATTGGGTTGCAAAACAGATGTATATGGAGTGAGTGTTCAGGTACTGAAGATGCTTAGCTGTCCAGGATATTGGTCTACTTGTTTATTAGCTAAAGAACTAAATCTCAGTGTCAGCAGCAGGGAGAGAGTGTCATAGCTCTTGATAATGACTGTGAGTAAACTAAATATACAGTATGCTTTGTTGCAACTAGAGCACACAGCAGCTATTTCCTCTCAACTTGTGTAGACTTTTAAGTGAAGTCAGACTTTAAAAAAAATTAAGTGATTCAATTATTAAGGTGTTGGAGGATATTCGCTGAGTGCCTGTCTTCTGCACAGTAACAAAACAGACAAAGCTATGCAATAAATTAAAATGTCAAAAAAGTACTAAAACCGCTCTGACTTTTCTGTTGTAAAGTGAACTGATGTAGTGTCCACCTTCAAAATGCATATGCTTTGCAGAGGAAATTTCTATTTGGGCAGCACTGAGTTGATGACTTTACCTGAACAGAGTCTGTTGTCCTCCAGATCAATAGGGGAATCTGCTGATTTGACTCCAGTGTTTACCTTCAGCTCTGCTACCTGCTGTTCTAAAGATGCCTTTATACCCCAGGGACACTGCTGGGGAGACTGGAGATTGCTCTGAAATTCAGAGAGAAACAAAGTCAAGAGAGTGTACTTAATTGGGAATGATCAGCATTCAAATTACAGGGGAGCCAGGAAAATTTAGCTCCCCCAAAAGAGACCTAAGCTCCCCCAGACTTTGAGTACATGGTTATTACCTCCGCCGTGGGCGGGGGTTATATTTTTTTCAGTGATTGTTGGTTTTTGTTTATTTGTTAACACCATAACTGAAAAAGAACAGAGTTTGAAACCTTTTGGACCCTACCCCGGGTCTATGGTGCCGCGGCGTGTAATGGATCCCAACCATGGCTATCTGGTGTTTGTTGTGGGTGGTGACGAGGGCCCGCGGCCCAGTGGGCCTTGCCCCTCTCGGCTTCACCTGCGTGGGGTGGATCCTTGGGCTTTGAGGGTTGCCGGCGGGTTGTTCTTTTTTTAGCTCGCCACGCTTATCGGGCCGTGGGGGAGGGACAGCGTGTGTTTTTAAAGCAACCCATTTTTTTAGGCAGTGTACTTTATCCCTGCCTACGTTTTCAAGTTTTGAAATGACTTTACTTGAGGTGGGTTGTTCGGATCCTGTACTGTGTGCTGTCATTTATAGGCCACCGAGATATAACAAGGACTTTGTGAATGACTTTGCAGATTTTATGGCTAGCATCAGACCTCATTATGATCGTTTTCTTATATTGGGTGATTTTAATATACGTGTGTTGCCCTGATAAACAACTGGTGAGGGAGTTTTTAACTACTATTGATGCTTTTGAGCTGACACAGTGTGTGTCTGGTCACACGCTGGACCTTGTTCTTTCATATGGTGTGCCTGTAACTAATTTAAATATCTGTATGAATGCTTTTTCTGACCATTCGTCCATTGTTTTTGAAGCAAAACTGTTTGGCACAGCTGGTGCCCTGCCGGGGCCTGCTCGGCACCGTCATGTACTGAACCCTTCCACTGCCGGTCTGTTTATCACGGCGTTTGAACAGGCAACTGCGTGTGCTAACAAGGCTGCTGGAGATACAGAGGGGCTTAGCGCGTGGTTTCAATCCTCCTGCAGCCATATACTGGACTCCGTGGCACCGATGAAAATCATGCGGCCTAAAACTAGGATGGAACCCTGGCTTGGCACTAGAACTCGTGTGGCCAGACAGACATGCCGCAAAGCTGAAAGGAAGTGGAAGAAGGATGGACTGCAAGTTTCACTGCAAATTTCGAAGGACTGTTGGCGCAACTATCAGAGGACTGTGGAAGAAGCTAAGCGGGAGTATTTGTCCAATATTGTTGTAGCTAATAGTCATGATTCACGTGTATTATATAGAATAATCGGGATGGTGTTAAATTCCCCGCAGCCTGTCTGTCAGGAAGCAATGGTTGAACTATGTAATAAGTTTTTAGTTTATTTTAATGAGAAGGTTGCTACTATAAAGGCCACTGTGGTTGGGTTAGTGCCC